TCAGAAATTTCCTATGACACGTAAAAGTTTCGTTTTGTTGCTCTTTCAAAAAAATTCAGTAAATTTATCAGGACAGTTGTTATTTATTAATCAATCAATTCGTTCGTTTAATTTGTCATCTTCGATGTTGTAAACCGACGTATGTTAGTGTAACTCACATTTACGCGAAATTGCTAGCAAAGTCTCACAACGCGTAACAAGATTTTTGCCTTTCGTCGACGAAACATTACCGCAAAATGGGTCAGATCGACTCTTCGAGTCCGTCTCGTTGGTTGTAAGTTTCTTTGGCGGCGCCGTGGCCGCCGAATTTTCGAAGCTTCTACGTTTCAGAACGAAATCTTCCGGCTGAGGAAGCAATTCCCAATACTTCGTCCCGAGGTTCTCGTAAAGATATATAACGTGTGTGTATGTGTGCACATGTGTATTCAGTACGTACGCGTACATACTCCGGGCAAGAACGCCTAATGATAAATTTCACCGGAAATAAGATCTTCGCCGGAAAGGACATTAGCTAAACAGTGACAATTCTCATCAGGCAGGTGGAGTCAACGTACGAGCCGAGTATTTTGGTACAAACGGTTTAATTATCTGGCTGTCTTACGTCGCGATTTAACGCGATGAAATTATATCGTAAAGGGAATTTAACCGAGCGTAATTCGCCAAGGAAACGAAAATTTCACGTGACGCACTAACACACACACGCGCGCATGTAACCACAATTGTGCCAGAAATTTGGCAAGATCGACTCGTTATCGATTCTACTGATGAAAATTTGTCAGGGAACGGCGAGTTCCCTCGTAAATATTTACGATCACTTTCCTCGGCAAACAACGAACAAATTTGCGAAGATGATCGAAACGCGCAGCTCTTAACGGGCTTCGAAACTACCACTTAACCGGAGAATCGCCGAATTTAATGGAACTCTTGTCACCGGCGCACTCTGTTTCACGTTCGATTCTTCTTTTTTTCCTCTCTCTCTCTCTCTCTCGTGCGAGGCCTCGAACGAATCGTTTTTAGCACCGGCATTAGACCGTGTAAATACCATCGAGAACTTGCATGCCGGCGCACGTAGGTACTATTGGTAATTCAAACATGTCAGCAGCGAGCGACGAAGACCCCCCGCCCCAGTTCGTCACGAACAATAAGAGAGCATCAAGAATCGGTGGAAAATTCACCCTCGTAAATCACTTTCGCCCCGTGTTACGTGGAAATTAAACCGGGGCCGTACACAGCCCGCGAGAAGATAAGACCGCCGGGTAAAGTAATCACGAAAATAGTTGCCGCGCGAAGTTGCCGCCAAGTTATCGCGCGATTATATGGATTTTTTAAGCACTTCTGCCGCGATTACAGGGTCGTGAGCAACGACCGATCGTTGGATCGCCTATTTTCCCCACGGAAGATAGAGGGAGCGAAAAAGTGCTCGAAGAAAATGGGACGATTAACGAGAAGCTTGTTATCTCCCGCGGACGATGAACGAGATCGCGTAAAATATAAAAATCTAACAGCGCTTCGTGTTAGAAAAGAGGAGACAGGGAGAAGGAGAAACTTTAGCGTGAAAATATAATATCTCGAGATGAATCTGCCGATATTTACGACTCTGTAGAGATGTATATCTACGCATATATATCGCATCTTTGTGTAGGAAATTTTTGGCCTTAAATTGTCGACGTACAAGGGAGTTTTGTCGGCGATCTATCGAAGAATTGATCGAGCATCAAACAACAGATTGAAACTACTAGAATACCAACTGAACCCAGAGATATTTAAGATCACATCAAAGTGATAAACAGCTGAAATTTCGAAACAGCCAATATATATTCCAAGCGACATCAATTTCATTTATCGACATTTCAGAAGAACAAATTAGTGTTAAATATTTTACCATTCACAGGGGATGATCAGGGATTTCACAAGACCAATTTACACTTTTAAAATGTTAAACTTATATAAACTGAAATATCAAACTTATTATATAACTTCCGAGATATTAAGCCTTTCTCTCCTACGAGTAAACATCGTTGATAATAAGTTGACGCAACAGCGACACAAACAGAATTAATATCAAAATTGCGATGTTCGAAAATGTATTTAAAAATGATACTTCTCGACGATTATTTCGCGGTATTCGAGTAAACCTCGAACTCTAAGAAAAACTCGATGGAATCGGAAGATCTTCCAGCTTTTCCCGAGATTTAAAACGAAATTACACAGGCAAACGTATAATATAATATTCACCCGCGTTTCGCATCGATTCGTCGCGAAACACAATTGGTTATTTAAAGTCGACTCGCCGCTCCGGAAGGAAATAAAACGGGACGCACGCTCAGAAAGCGTGCTAGAACGTGCAAGATATGGAATAGCATTGACCGTTTCGTCAATATGTGCACAATTAATGCACGTACGGCGCGCGAGGAATCGTTTTATCCGGTCCATTTTCAATATCCACAATTCGGTTGGCGGTAGCCTAGGAAATGCTGCCGCGAGCGCACGAGCGTGAAATCGTATAAGTTTTATTTCGCGCAAAACTGACATATTTCCTCCTTTAAAAATTTCATACGGAAGTAGGCAGCAGCGAGACACGAACGAGCAAAAACGAACGAAAGGACCATAACGGAGCCGAAACGTATGTATACGAGTGCATACATACATACATACATATGTACATGAGTATAGACACAGACATGTGGCGTATATTCAAATAGAGATTTCGCGGCTGTCATTGTATCTCTTCTTATACCGCCGACACGAAATTTTCGATTTTACTTGGCCCCGGTTGACCAACGATGGAGACAAACGAGATCGAAACATTAACGATCCAATAACTCGCGGTGCACGTCGCACACACGCGCGACAGAAAAGAACGTTTCGTGTCAGGAGCAATATCGTCGGCGTTATCTCGAGCGACGAAAAATGTATTACAAGACGGTTAGCCCCGTCGACCGAGCCGCATTTTCGCGAACCAGCAAATCAGATTTACGACGCGTAATATCATTACGTCGAGTCGCCGTGGTTCCGTTCGCGACGTTCTGTCGCGCTGGTTTGAGCGTTCGTTTTCGCTCGTTTCCCTTCAACTCACTTTCTTCCCTTTTCTTCCTCTTTTTCTTTCCGTTTCCACACGAACGACAGTAGAAAAGGGGGTGCGAAAGAGAAAAGGCGAGACCAGGCGAGCAAAACCGTAATATCCGAAGGAAAATTTGTTCGGCGAAATGAAATTATCCAGCGACGATCTTGCATTATACTCGCGGTCGTACGTGCTCGGCATAACGCATCGAAGCTGCCACGTTCCTCTAATACGTGGAATACGTATCGAACGTATCGTATCGTAACTTCCATTCTCGAATCAGCGAAATGTCTTGACCAAATTGCTCGCGACTCGATTGTCCCTTTTTTTTTTTCTTTTTTACGAGGCCAGTTGATTCATCCCCATTCGAATGGTTCACTTTCGTTGGCATAACGATGGATTAGAGAGACGACGATCGGGAGAGAGAGAGAGAGAGAGAGAGAGAGAGAGAGAGAATGAAAAATGTCGGCCAAAGTTCAAGACACGATCCGCGGATATTAAGTTTACTTCGATCGAGTGTAAGTCGCGGAACGGAATGACACAGAAGGACGTATAATTAAACGGTGCCGTGTTCCTCGGCCGTCGCGGACTTGCACGAGCCCGACGACGTCCGCCAGCGAGATATAGAAGAAATGGAATTAATGAGAAAAAGTTTGAAGCGATGCGACGTCGTTTTAATTAAGACGATGATGCAACACTGTGCGCGCCAAGCTATATTTTAATACATCTTATACACCGACTCTACCTTGGAAGGGTTCTCGTTTTTTTCTTTCTCTCTATCTCTCTCTCTCTCTCTCTCTCTGTCTTCTCTCTGTCTCTGTCTTCGAACAGCTATCGACTCGAGGCACCTTCACAAATTAATTCCGTCCCCCCTCCCCCTCTCCTCCTCCTGCTTCCGCTCGAATGGCAAAGGCAGGTGTGTTTTTGAAAGACACTCGCGACAGATGTTCGAAATTCATCCCGCAAGATTAATAACGCGATCATCGTATGGAAATCGTTCGCGAGGTTCACGTATTCCCCGATGATACGTGCAGAAGTTAAATTTTCATGCGCAGCCATGCGTTAAACATTTTCCGACCGCACGAACAGATGCCGAGATTCTAATCGTCGATCGTTTTCAACCAGGTTCCCCGAGGTTTGCGAGTTTCAGTTTCGCTGTTGCTGCCAGCGTTATCCAAAGGATTCACCGCGAGATCTCTTATTTGAGAAACTTTTCCTTTCGTCCCTTTTACGGTACCGGAATGAACGAAGTAATAGGAAAAGCAAGAAATGAAGCGAAGCACGTTGAAAAATATTATACACACAGACATATTTCATCCCCTCGCGCCCTTCTTTCATCGCCACTCCTCCTCACCACAAGCGACAGTGGCTCAGAGTTAATTGCAAATAAATTTTAAATCGCAATATCCTGCGCCGCGATGCAGGAAGCTGTCTCGTGCGTCGTCCATCGTCCACAAAATCTCTTATAAAGAAGCACCATAGCGAAACTGTACGGTCGACCGATATACGATACAACCTAAAACCCGAGTACGTTATATCCCGAGAGCGTCATAAAAAAATCGGAAAATAGAGAGCGGATGCAATCAGCACTTACATGTTCGTCAGAGGCTGGTAAAGCGTAAAAGCGTAGCGAAAGAAAGTCAATCGTTGTGGTGGGTCATATCGAGACGCACACCCACATACGCGCACGCTTCTCGATCCCTCGATGCTTCTCTCTCTTTTCTTTTTTTTTTTTTTTTTTTTTTTATTCGAGGAACTTATGATCGGTTACGGAGAGGATACAAAGAGCCCGGCTTTTTCACAAGACGGTGAAATCCTTCGGAGTGGGTTACTAGTGACGGAGACGCTGCTCTAAACGTGCTCGATCACGAACAACTACCGATCCGTCACTTGCTGGATCATTCCTTCACGGGACGCGAGCGAGACAACTCCTTCTCACCTCTCTCGGGATTCGAAACTCCTCGTTTTGAAAACGCGCCACCTCGAGGCGCGGTGCTTCGCGGCCGCGCGACCGATTCCTCCGATTGGTAACTCGTCGTCGTCGTCGTCGTCGTCGTCGTCGTTGTTGTTGTTGTTGTTGTTTCACAGATTCAGAGTGCGATTATAATCGCGACTATTATATCACGACGCTAGATCACGAAAACGGTAGATAAACGAAATCGAAAAGGCGATCAGAAAATCCACCTCTTTCTACAGAGCCGAGCACACTTGTATTTTTACCATGCGTGCGCGCGTTAAAACGAGGAACGAAGAAAAAATGTGATGCTTCCGCGAGCACGAAGCGTAGCAGAGGTTCGGCGAACCGTGTGCGGCCCGCACCCTCGCACGAGACGTACTCGTAGGTCTGTCCTCGAGCCGGTAGGATGCCAACACCGACGTCGGCGCTGCCACCGCTGCCACCACTGCCCGCCGGGGGTCGAGGATGGCTCCGGCTTCGCGACTGCGCCCTTTCGCCTCTCTTCAACCCATTACGGTTCTCACCCGTTCGAGCGCGCACAGTCATAAACACACGTACACCGAGGGAGACCCTATCATACAGAGGCCCGCCGCACGGCCGTACGATGTAAGACCAACACACGTTTGCCAGTGGCGCGCTCGTACTCACCCTATAATAACGTTTCCTCCTTTGTATAGGTGAGTTGCTTCTTCCTCGCGCCCCCGTTCGTCCCCCGGTTCGTCCTGGCCTTCGTTTCATCCCCCATGGCCTCGTGCCGCGTCGCAAACCCTCTCTCCCTCCCCCCCCCCCGTTAGCCGCAACACGTAGCCGAGCCAGCTACTCCGGCCTGCCTCCGTTCTACACACCCGCGATACATCATCGTATCGCTTTATGTCTCGCGTAACGTTTTATTAACCAGAAATCAAGCACGCCGGGTGCTTCTTTCCGGGCGCTTCGGCCTGTCAGACCACCGACGACTGAATCTCGTCGCCCGATCGCGGCTGAGCAACCACGAATCGGAGATTTCCCGTGGAATCAGTTTCGCCGATAGTCACGGGTAATTGACTCTTCAACGGCGTAACGTGACACGGGGGGGCAATCGCGTGTCCCGATCGCAACAAGGGAAACGAGTGGGCCGACCACGTGCCCTATCGAGCCGATTCTCCGGATCGTGGAAGAATTATCAATAATTATTAATAGTGGGAAATGGAACACATCGCGGTACACAACGCTCGGCTGGTTGATATATCCTTGGTCGATCCGTGTTATCGCTTCTCGTCGTCGCGTAATTGATATCGCGAACGTGGAAACCAAAATCTGTGGAAGTAAATCGTGCGATTGGATTTAAAGCGAGGAGGATCGGAGGATCGGGGATGCACAAGGATACGGCCATTGTAGTGGATGCTGAAGAGTTATTGGGATGTTGAAGACGTTCGCGGAATAATTAAGATACAAGGGAAATCGAGTTTGGCGCTTATGAATACAGAGAACGACACAGATGAAATCATATCCGCGTGTATTGACGAACAATGCGTATTAATAAACACGAGGAAAACGTTTCTACGGTTCGAGAGGGTTTTTTTGGATTTGTAGAATATCGATAGGTTTTGTTCCATTGCTGATTCAAATCGAACAAAAAGAAAATGACTGAAAAATATATGAGAAAATATAGAATGCATTCAATTTAATTATTTAACGTTGATCTTAAAATAACAATTTAATTAATAACGTTGACCTTATCTGCAAAATTCTTCACAAAATATTAATTGATTAGTATAACTGCACTGTTGAACGTTTGTTCATTGTTACAGAGATAAACCTTGTGTACAAAATGCACATAACAGATAAATCGATCGAATAAACAGTCATTAATCAAGCAAATAGTATGTCTTTTGATTTACAGTTATCACTTTACAAGTTTTTTCCTGATTTAAAAAAATGTTTAACCGATATGTAATAAATAACCGGTATTTATGTTGTTATTTTTTCGTTGCTTGCATTTGGAGAAAAATCTGTCATCGTTCCAAGTGACTCAATATCCATTTGCGCGATATCTAACTTTTGCAACGATAATTCGTGACATTGCAGAATTTGGAAAAGGAATCCGACATATATAGATATTACAATTATTCCAACGAAATAGGACACGATGCTATTTGGATAAGCTATTCATAATTTTGACGAAATCAGAGAAATTACAGAAGCATATTTCGGCAATGTCGATGTCAAATTTCTAAATTCCATTTGCAGTAATCTTTCATTGCTTTGAATGATAAATTGAATGCCCTTGTTACTTGTTACAATCCAATTCTTTTTTGGTAAGTGAAATTTGCAAAACTCTTTAACGTTTCGAAGATTATAAATTAAAATCTCCGGCGAATGTAAAACGTTGCATAAACAGCCAGACCGGGAGAATTGTTTTTTAATCGTTCTTAAAATTTTACGGAGTTTCTACGAAATTGTGCTCCTTAATAATGGAAGAATATACAATGTACATCTAAGAGGATTTGCCTAAAAAACGGTTCAGCTCTATGAACGAAGAACCAGCAAAGAACAGAAAAAAGTTTTCACGGTGTTGAGAGGTGCTTTTAAGCTGCGTATAATTTACCAACGGATCAATTACATGATTCTCTGTGAAATAGATGGCAAACATTGCCGAGAATATTTCAATATATTTGTTCGTTTTAATCCGTTATCTAGTTTTTATTAAACGTAACTTTCCACAGTGTACTTTCAACTTTCAAACACGACACGAAAAATGTGTAATAAAAACATAGTTGGGAAAGAGGGGACGAATGCATTCTGATCTGTCTCTTAAATGAAGAATTTCTATCTCGTTATTATTATAATCTAATGAAAAAATTAACATTCACATTAAATATTAAGCATTTAACAAAATAATTTAATAAATAAAATTAGATGAAGTGTAAATCTGAAGATAGATCTGAAAAAGATAGGAGAAGGACCAATAATCATAATAGCAATCCTTTGCGATTAAATAGTTTATATTATTATTATTATATAGAAAGCTCTGAATCCAATCATCAACAGATCATTTTCCATTAAAACCACTTTTATTTTATTAAAAATAAATTGTGCTCTGGGGTGTCGAAATCTTCAGTCGATCAAATCAACTATAATATAATTATCGATTGAACCGTGTCTGTAAGATAATTTAAATTAAAAATTTAATTTTAATTTAAAAATGTCTTACATTGATCAGCTCCTCTATATGTACAATTCAATTGTGGTCGAAGTTTCATGGAATAGAATTTCAGGCTATATCAAATCTTATCTCTTCCCAGAATAAATTCAAACTGGCAACCGGGTACCGCAAATTGAGCCAGAAAGAAAAAAAAAAGGGAAAAAAGACACAGAAACCCGCGAACGAAAACTAACACGTATTTGCAGACAAGCGCGAACAGCGTCGAACCGATCTAATCGCGATCGAATTTCGTCGCTGGCAGAATTTCAATAACGTCGTATGAGGTGGTCGTGAGAATGCGAAGCGGAGATTCCGTTTAATGCCGTCGGGCGAAGAACGATCATCTCGTCACCGCCCCGCTTCATTTATCTTGATAACAAATTTTTCCGTCGGCTCGTAGAATTCTTTTTTCTCTCGCGGATAAGCGAGCTCGGCTGACACAACTGCAAAAACGTTTTGAAAAACAGAAACACGCTCCGAACTCGTCGAAAAATCTCCAAACACTCCAAAGTACCGAGATCCCATCTCTATCCACTCAACGTTCGAGTTTCATTTGCGCAAGTATTCGTGAAAAAAAAAAAAAAAAAAAAAAAAACAGAAAAATTCGTGACTATCCCGCCCCGAGTGCCTTTTGAAAATATTTATAAAGAAGCTCGAAACCCGACAGAAGATCGACGCTAATCCCTCTCCGCAAATGCGCGAAAACGAAAGGACGCGCCGCGTAATCGCGCGTGTTGCACCGCACCGGTAAAATAAGAGAGTCACGCTGTCACGGGAAAATAAACGTCGAGGCGTAAGGTTCAACGCGACTAACCGACAGCCAGTCGTGCATCCGTGACGCTTACGCACGTGTAGAGACGCTCCCGAGTATTCCTCTACCGGCTAGACGGTATTTACGCGATTCCGAGTGACGTGCCATCGTTGAACCACCGCCGCGTTTCGTTTCTGAAATATGAAGGGCGAGGACCGAGACGCGAGCTGGGGTGTTGTTTGGTCTGAAGCGGAATTTTCTCCGTGTGAGATTCGAATTCATCGGGCGGAGGGAATCCGTGGGTAGCGCGGAAGTGTTGCCGCGACGAGACGAGACGAGACGAGACGCGACGCGACGCGACGCGAGACACGCTCTTTCAAATTGTTTTCCAGCGTGAACGGCTCCGTCCGGAGCCGAATACGACGAACGTCACGGCGAACGTCGCGCGAATTCCTGACAGAGCTCTGCGGCGAAGGCGAGCTGAATCGATCCTTTTACGAGCGCTCCGGTTGTCCATGCAGAAATCAAAGTCACTTGACACGGCGGGTTCAGAGGAATTTCATTTGCCAGATTCTAGCAGCGCGACGAACCCTCTCGACCGACTAATTCGCGCGACGCTCTAGATACGGGGCTAGAACTTTGTAACACGGACGAACCGCGTTTTACCTGCTCCCGCTATCGATTCTTCCTCCCCCACCTCCCCTCCCGACGTAACTGGCGTAACTGGCGTGCTTCAACCAAACGATACCAGAACGAATACAATCTACTTAATGAAATGTTTTCGTACAAAATCTTAGTTCCGACGATGTGTCACGAAATCGAGAGAAAGAAGGAAATTCTCGCGATTGTTCTTCCCACCTGGAGCTATTTGGCTTTTCTAACTGACTTCGTTGAGTTTCTTTCACTTATCTGGTTTGACAGTCTTCGTTCAAACTTTATAGACGAATTTATAACTGTAGTATCGGTTATTATAATTAATCTGTTACAATTTTAGTCGTGTTTAAATATAACAGATGGCCTGTTTGTTGATCGTAGTGTAGCGACCGTTGCCTCTTCAGAATTAAAATCAGCGCCATCTACGTTTGTAGGTGTAGCCGTATTTTCTTTTTATCACGTCGGCGTCATCAATTTTGTAGGTACTATGATTGAGAATAATTACCATCATAGTATCTACAATAGAAATATGATAGAGATCAAAATCTATGATCATCTCATGATCAAAATCAATATGAGAAAGATACATTTACATATATGTACGTAAAACTTAAATCTCTGGACATTAGTGTTCTTAATATCTATCTGAATTAATTTTTTTTTTTTTTTTTACCAGCAATACGATGCAAGTTGTATGAAAAAAAGAGAAAACATCAATGACTTTGAGAATCCTGAAAAAAATGATCTCGGAAAAAAGATATTCTTACTAGAGAAAATTATCGACTATTCATGTTGAGCGAAAAATATTT